CTTATTTCTGACCACCAAAACATGAAATTTCCCAATTACTCTTTAAACCATTTAAAAAAGTTAAAAACAAATATTTTAGTAGATGGAAGTGTCTTTTTATGGTTATTGGTTACGGATAATAAAAAAAAATTTGAATTTCAAATTCCATGTTATTCTTATGGAGAATAAGTTAACTTTTGTGGATTGCTTATTTATGGCTATATTTTTAACAAACTTGGCAAATTTGTTTATTTTATACTACGTTTTTAATATTTTGCTAAAATACACACTTTATTGCCCTCCCTGTAGCAGCAAACCTAGGTACTTGTTAAACCTTATGTTATTTAAATAGATTTAATTGAAAGTCCAATCGCGCACGGTAAATGGAAATTCGCTTAGTCTCCTGGTTTGCTGGGACTGGGGTATTTAGTATTACGTTATTTTTTAATTTTGTAGGGCTAACAGCCTAAGTTTTGTATTTACTGGGAAAGATTTAAAAGGAGGTTTACTCATTGCCCATTGTAGTATTTTAATGAGCAAACCCTTTTTTATATGATAAGTTCTAATAACAATAATTTTAGGAAAGCCTATAACTTGTAAATAGTTCACAAGAAGTAATTGTTAAATAATTAATTAAATAGTTAATAATAAAACATCAAAATATTATGTAGATACTTAGTTTTGAAACAGTTCGATGCTTCTGATGTGACCACAACGATTAACAAATGATTATGTGAACATAATGACGAAATATTGAAATCGCGTTTGACTTAAATCTATCTCACGTTAAAATTCCGAAAAAAGTGGCTCTGGAAGTGTCGAGTACGAACGGGATTATCACTGAATCATAACAAATGAGGACGACCGGAACCACGGTTGAAGCAAGGGCGCACAGTGAAAATACCACGGACAGAGATGGATTATATGCAAGAGATAAAATGTGTGAAAGGCTATAAACAATTAGGCTCAAACTGAAGTGTTTAACTTAGGATGATACGATAAAAATATAAAGCTACAGCACTGATGAGAAATGTAGTAAGCTGTAAGTTAGGAAAGCTTTGACACATGGTATTTACATATATTACTATAACAGTAGGAAGGTGATAGATTTTGTTTTTAATTGTTTAGTCAAGAATAGATCAAATATATAATTCTAAGAAAAGCTTTATAAGAATGATAAGCGGTGAATGCTGTTATTTGCCAATCTGATAAGGTGTGAGGATCAGTTAAGAAATGTAGTATGTAATTACTACGAAACTGATAAATTTAAGGCTGATACGTTTCAAATTCCTTGAGTTATCAAATTGAGACTACAAGATTAAATACGCGTTTAAAGTACGTTGATCCATAGTGGTTAGAGATGAGCTTTCTTACGAAATTGCTAAGATACCAATGTTATGGCTTACTTGCCAACTAACTTATAAGTTAAACTTGCTTTAAATCTATGGTGGCTTGAACATTTGTAGAACATTTAGACAGGGCAATATAACGATATTTGACAATGCCTGTAAGCTTAGTCTACAATTGATTTGCATTAGAATTGTTGGTAAATGAAAATCACATTACACATGGTAGTGTAACCTCTTGCTAATAGTGTTGAAAAGATCGTTCTTCAAAATGTTTGATGATGTTATGGACACATTTGATCGTATAAGTAAACCATTGTCAATACTATTATGTGGTTGTTATGATAATTTCGAGGTGTACAACTGTTTAATTTTATAGGTAAAACATACATAGCCTAAATGAATAATATGTAGAGACGATCCTTTGAAAAGTAATTGTCAGTTATATTTTCTTACCCAATATAGTTTATATCCAGGTAGTAGCAGTCATCCACTCTTTCGGCCAGCGCTAAGGCACAGACTAACCGACTATAGGTTGAGGGGGGCCTAGTATAGACCACAGCCCCTCTCACTCACTCACACACTCTCTCTCTCTCTCCCTCTCTCTCTCTTCCCCGTCATAGTAGTCGACGAAAAACCTCCTCGAACACCTCTCGCAGACTCTCTTGTTACAGTATCTTTCTTTCTCCAAAACATTGTATCAAAACTGAGGGCCCCACACTCCCTTTTGCAACATATCACATAAAGTTCACATAAGAAACATTCGCTTGTGAGGGCCCAGCTTTTCTAGTGACCTAGGACACATTCAGCGGCCCTTTTAAAAAAGGGCTTTTTGTTCTTTTTCTCATGACATAGGTAATATTAATAGTTGTAGATTGTATTGGGTTAATATTACTTAGGTAATATTAACCCAATACAATCAAAAACTATAATAAATATTAAACTACTGATCTTTTAGAAGGAGAAGAACACTCCAGGGCAAAAAGAACAGCCCTGAAAACAGTTTAGGACGTGCAGAGGAGCCAAAGAAAAGAGAAGTAGCTCATGACAAACAGCATACAGTAGCTCAGAAAAGAGTAACAGCCCTGGGAAAGAGGGAGAACCCAGTGCGAGAAGAATAGCACTGGACTAGGAGTTAGCCTAGAACGAATAGGAGAGTTCATAACAAGAAATTCAGCCCTGGACTAGAGGGAGATCTGAGGGCAAAGAGTGGCAGCCTCCTGGGCTTCCTCTTTGGTTCAGGGCTGTTCTTCTTGCTCTGGTCTGCTTCTCTTATCCTGGGCCGCTTTTCTCGTTCTCTGTTCTCCCTTCAAACAAGGCCTGCTTTCACCCTGGGTTACCCCATCTCGCTCGGGGCTTTTAGCTAAGGACTGCCTCTCTCATCCTGAGCTCTCTCTCCAACCAAGGCTGTTATTCTCAACGGACTGCCTCTTTGTCCTGTGCTGCCACTCTGGTCCTAGACTCTCGCTCAAATCCAGGGCTATACATCTCGCCTTGGGCTGCCTCCCACGTCTTTTGCCACCCCTCTCACCCTTGGTTCCCCTTTGGCAGCCCAGGACTAGAGAGATCTCTTCACAAGAACTTCAGCCTAGGACGTAAAGGACAACCCTGAACGATAAGGTTATACCAGTACTACGAACAGAGTTGCCCGGCATTAATGAGGACAATATGGACGATTCAAAACATAAGTGGGAACGGGGCATTCTTAGATGAGGAGCCCTAAATGAGTAGGACAGCCCAGGACTAGGACAGCCTAGGACTAGGCCATTGCAGGACTAGGACAGCCCAGGACTAGGACAGCCAAGCTGAAAACCATCTTATAATTGCTCATCCTTGATAGTCTTCCCTTCTCTTATTTACAAGCCAATCATTTGTATTAAAAAGTATAATACAACCATTACCTGAAAGATTTATGTAGATAAATCCACGTGTGGTGGAGATAGCAAGATAATTTGACCTTGAAATATTGAGTAATATGGCCTTGATTGTCATCCTGGACTGATCTGTCTGTATAGCGTAATTGTCAGTAATTGTAAATAATTGTTTGTTTAAATAGTTGAGTTTCCTTGGTGTTTCCTATAATAACCAAAATAACAGTTTTTAAATAAGTGTATGTCTGAGTTCTTACGTTGACTTTGTATTCATAATTTGTATTTTAATATTGTCATAAAACGGATATTTTTAATGGTGGTATTAAATATGATTTTGTAACACCTACGAAAATCATTATCAAAATGAATTTATATTAGCTACATGCACAGTTGAATTTACAAAATAGATATTTAAGAACTGACCCGATGATCCTTACAGGCTGGGGAGTAACCTAAATGCATGTGATATTTATCTGGCACAAAGATTAAAAGTGTCATACCATGAAGTATAGAACGGTAATGACATCAACGCTTCAAAATAAATAGCTGATCTAGCACGATTGCCGTTGAATTGATGTTAGGGTTCAATTTTAAAACCAATTTAAGGGTTGCAATAGTTTATCAATATAGTTTATGACTTTAAATTAAACATCAAATGTTGTATTTTTTTCCTACCACACCACAATCAGTAATACGCCGCAAGAAAACTCATAGCCAAGTTCTTTCCCTGTGTAATCTAATTAAAATGCGTCTCTTGCCATATTGATATCCAATCACTGCAAGTGTTAGACTGGCTTAGTTGGTCTCAATTAGGTTTGTGTTAGGATATGAGTTCGTATGCCAATAGTGACTTGGAATGCACTATTACTCCATTACACTTAATTATTGTGAGCTCTTTCATGTGAAAGTAGAGCCACCAATTAGGCAAAGGGGTATCAAGAACTGAACATTCCATACTCTTATTGAGACAAAAGTACTTTCCTGATTTTGGAGAAATGAAGTAAGAAATGTGTGAGAAATGAAAAAATATTCTCAAAACTCAATACTAAGAAGGCGACCCAGACCGACATTTCGTCTACTGCACTCAGATCCTCCAAGGACGTAGTTGCTAGTTCAGCGAAACACCCCCCTTATTAAAAAAAAATTTCCCGAACGGGGTCAGTCGCGGAGACACCATCTGGGACTGTGTGGTAAAAGCATCTTTCCTGAAAGGAGAAAAGGCTATTGAGGCAAACGGAGGTCACCTCCAAGAAGAATGCGGCGGTGAAGCTTCAGTCGGCTTCTACTTGTGAAATGTCGCTGTCAAAAATGTTCAGGACGAAGGTGATCATAGCAAGCCCTCAGGGGAAGATAATTTGCCGAGTTTTTAGGTGTAATCAAGGCCAAGGCTAACCCTGAGCAGACCGATACGATAGTGCGATCGATTAGAAACCCCCCAAGACGCGGACGTCAGCCTTTAACTGAGTGAGTCGAAAGATAAAGTCGCTTTTGCTGTCGAACCGAGGGTAGTTTTGGAAGGTCATGGCACTGTCCTTGCAAGTAGGGTGGAAGTAACGGTGCTTTAGGTGTCTCAGTTTCAGCCATTCCAAATGAGGGGCACGGGCAGGCAAGAGCTGCCTTCGGTGGAGTGGGATGGAATGGGTTACACCCGTAAGAACTGCAAAGTCAAGTCATGTGTCTAAGTAGTGAAGTGCATTTAAAACTGTACCTCAGCAAGAAAAACCCCGACCCACGAAGATAAAAAAACCATCAGTGCAATCTGGAGTGAAGGGATATGTTAAATGTTTATACAACCAATTAAACATTTATAATTATAAAAGCGAAAATATATTTAGGATCGTAATTTAGATGTACATATGACACCCCTCCAGTAAATAGAGTTAGAATACACAGTTTATAAACATATAATGGAAATAATTATATGGATATATATTCATGAACGATTTGTGAGAATCCAAATTCTGTTTATAACAAATAAATATACATTCTTACATTCAAAGTATACAAATTATAGGTAATTTTTAAACAAATTCGGCATCAATTAAATTCAACATCACCCTTGTGAGTGCCTGAGTATTTGAGTCTCCGTAAAGTAGTTTTTGTACAGAGAGATGCTCGTAAATGAAGGTGTTTTTATTTATTTATAAATATATGACAAATGTATTTTAATATAATTAAGAAATGTTGAGTAGTTGTAAACAAGTCCTGGTTTGAGCAAGTCCATAAGCTTGATTCTTCTCTTTTGATTTTTTAAAATATCAGGTTTGCAGAAATTCATACAAGCTAACATTTTACTCGCTAAATAAATCAAGACTATTGTTGGATGTAAACATAAGAGAGCTTTTTCAACACTTTATCGTTGAGCGGGTTTAGAATAAAACTGTCAAGTCTAGTATGGGGCTTCGTAAAAATAAAAGTGCTATGTGAACTTTTAATAGCCGCATTTATTATAAATAATAATTGTCTCATTTTACCAACCGAGTTTCAATTCAAACGACAATATAAGAACTCGTAGGGTCAAAGGTCAACTTAAGTTTTAATTTAGTTAAGTTAGGATACATTGATTTGCCCTAATCGAACCTTAGAAATATTTGTTAAGGTCAATATCGATAATATATCAAATATTTTAAATATATGAATAAGATATGAAAAAAATCAACTACAAAATGAAATAACATACAGAAATGCTAACTAACAGCTCTAAGGACCTGAACTGCACCCACTCCCACGGAACCCTTGAGAAAGTCCAAGAAGTTACTGAGGAGAATTCTCACTCTATTACGGAGGGGGTCGAGCACAGCGTGTGTCGCTAGGAGGGAAGACTCCCCGTGATGGATCTCCTTCACATTTTCCTTAGTAAGCTCCTCGTCTACACACCAGGAATAGACGTTAGGGTCTTTGTCGTATCGGAAGTACAAGACACCTGCGGAAGTTGCCGTTCCAATGATGATCATCTTCTCGGGTTTATTCTGTGAGACGACTTCCAACGTGCCTTCAGTAGTGCCTGCGCGAAGGTCTGCTACATTTAGAGAGTAGATGCCATTTCCGCAATGGTACGTCAGATAGAGTTTATTCACTCCCGGTTTGTTCTTGATCGTCGCAATGTAAAGGATGTCTCCAGATGCCTTGCACCCGTCAGATATGACTTCAGGAAGTACTGCTCGGTAACTGTAATCAGTGTCGGACAATTAGGTTAAATCAAAATCAGACATATGTTTACATCACGGACAAAATTCGTTTGCAACTAACTTTTACAAAATGAGTGGTACCTTATCATTTGGTTAGTTACCGATGCTTTTGGCTACGGCACAGCAAGTGGTGCCGACAAAACGCTGGCTGTAAGCCTAGTTTAGATATTAGTTTCGACGGTGCAGTGATTTTAAGCCATTGTACTTTATATTTTGTTCCACTTGGGTATCGGCATGTCTGTGATATCCCTTGGTATGTTTTGAACGTTTTAACATAGATATTTGAAATTCGGCATGGCTACGTTCACGTTGGTTGTTGATTGACAAATTGATTGAATCCTAATTCGTAAGTGTGAACTGTTTTTTAAAGGGTGGTAATTTAAAATAAGACTGCCGATCATCCTTCACAATCGTGTTTATATAACGATGTTGGAAGGTAGCTAAAATTAAACAACAAAGCAGATTAACTAAATTTACCCTGAGTCCTTATCCAGGTTGTAGACGATGACGGCATTCGCACCAGCGTCACTGACGAATAGAGTAATCTGCCCTGTCGAGTCCGTGTCCACGGCAAGGTATTGGAGACGTGAGTGTGGCAGTATGAACTCTTTTAACTCTATGGTATGCAATCTCTGCAAAGGTAAAATATAGGTGTTAGACTTTACAATATAAACTCTCCTCAAATAATGTTGGCATTTGTGAAGTAACGATACTATGTCAACCTTATCGTGAGCAGCACAGTACATATCCACAATATGTAAAAACTCTTGAGAACTTACAGTGCGAATGGTGAAGATAAAGTACTCGTAATCATTCTTAAAACTATTTCGTTTCATTTTGAGATTCGAAGTTGATTGGCTTTGTGTAATGTGTAGGGCCTTGAGGGCAAAACAGCCTTCAATGTGTTGGATGTGGTGAGCGGCATGCTTATAAAATTGGTCTGCCCCACAAGCCCACAATGTAGCCATGTTTACTCGACAGCCGATTGATCACCAGTGTAATAAAGTAAATTTATAATCTTAAATAATTAAAATGGCTGTCATTTTGATTAGGGGGGCGATATTGACCTCTGGTTTGCGCCATCCAATTTATCTTGTTAAATTCTTTAAAATGAGGGGTCACATGATAGGTGTTTACATTTGAAAATTTTGAGCTGCCCCCAAAATACCCCATTTTGGGGGCTGGGGCAAAGTTGTAACTTTGATGAAAAAGTGCAATTTCTTATGTTGTAAATATGTGCCGAGTTTGGTTTTCCTACTGCAACGCGTTAAACAGTTAACTGGGGGGTTCCAGACTTTTGCCTAACCCTGTATATCAAATGCTACTTTCATGACGCTCTAAACGTTTTCTTGTCCAGTATGTTATTGAGTAATAAATGTATTGTCTCGTGTGAAATGTTTATTCAGTTAGAATGTTTTGTTTGTTTATCACATTACGTAATGATCTCGGCCAATGAAATAATTATTCTATATATTGTGCAGATTCTTATTTGTTACTACAGAGTTCGCGCAAATTTATAACCTTTTCGGAATAGATTTTTCTTAGATTTTTTCCTTTATATGAATTTTGGTTACAAGTTGTAGTAAGTTATTACCTTGTTGCCAAACAATTAAGATACGAGTACATAATGTAAAATGCAATTTGATGGGGTTTATTTAGTGAAATATTGTAACCTATTGCCTGCTTCTTTAGACAGCTGGGAACGATGTTAGGTTTATTGGATTGTTAGGGTTTAAGGGAGTGGGAGTAGTTAGTTTAGCAAGGTAATGGTTCGCTCCTGCCTCCTCATAAATAAACTTTCGCCACCAACCAAGGTGAGCCGGTTTTGAAAACTTTCAGTCTCATTTGATCGGGATAAAATAGAACCAGGATTTTTGGGCTGTGAGAAAACCGAGAGCCCTTTAGAATCTACATACAATCTATTCAACACAATTAGTATGGACTGGGTGGTATTTTGAAGGTAGAATAACCAGCATGAGATGTAAAGCATTATCTTTCCAACTAACAGAATTTCCGAATTTAGTAGATAAAGAATGATTTGGAAGATTATGAAAAGTTCGATGATGGTAATAGTTGACATGAAACATGTAATAAAAAAATTTTTTTGCAAGTACTACTCGCAGTTAAAACATCATACTTTGTGTATACAACATATACTGAGATGAACAGTCAGATCAGATAAAAAAATTGAGTGTTTACAGATTTCGTAATACGTACCATACTGTAAAAAGAAGTGTTGACCTTTACATAGCTTGTCAGTGCTTGTAGTTTGTAGTAACTCATATGCCTGCTTTTATAACCACTGTTATAGTATTGAAAACAGCAATTTAAAGTACTGTTACTGATGAAGTAACGTTACTATATATTATTATCGGCAATATATGATATCATATTACTTCATCTATCGTAGGCCTACTGTATTAGCTTACATATTTACACAATTTTTAAAACAAATCGTTAAGGATAGGAAACTTTTGCATTGTTCGTATTCCTAACAAGAAATATAGCATTAATTTACATTTACGAAACTATTTTCATATTTTGAATTTGCTCTACAAATGTGTGGAGTGAAATTTCTACTTCAGACCGTATTTTTATAAACACCTAACTTGTCAGAGTCTTACAAACCGTTAATGTCTCTGGGGAATTTGGTCACGGAAAGGCTCATGACCTTTATTGTGGCTGTCTTTGGTCATCTCCTCGTCATCTGATTAGCTAACTCCTGAGTCTTACAGAATGATGTGTTGCAAAGGTTACGAGATACGAATTGAAAGGGTAAGGATATTCGTCGATAGAACACTTATTAGAAGTTTAATTAGTGTAATTAGTAAATTAAAGTGGTCAAGTACAGTGTGACTAGTACTTGGTGCTCTATGATGTATGTAGTACTAAAAAAATTATGTAAGTGTTTTGTAAATCTAGTATGTTCGTTTTAAATCACTAATATTAAGATGATAAACCGGTTAAAGTTGAAATATTCGGTTAAATATCAAAGGTTTGGCTCCCGAATTCATTGTACATATTAAATATAATATGGGGTTAATTTTCTATTTTTTTCAGTTATCTTAAAGTTATGAACATTTGTTCTACACGACTATCAAGGAATGGTCCATTCTGATTTGTCAGTAATACTAAAAATAAAAATACATTCAAACAAGGAATTAGGGATTATCGTTTACAACAGTTCTATACATTCTTCGAAAGTACGATTGCTATGAAATGTATTAAAAGTGGAAAAACTAAGCTGCTATATAAAACCAGAGACACGTTGTTGGTGTTCACTACTCTCTAAATTTTATTGTTATATGTTCTAATCATGTTGTACATCTAAGTATCTTTTTCAAAGGAGGAATTCTGGTGAAATGTGCACGATGACGCTACGAGAGTCGCTACAAAAGTCCCTTACCTTTCCATTGGTGGGATCGAACCCAACAATCTTTGGAGCACATTTGAGCTTGGGAGCGGTCAAAGTGTCGACGATCCCATTGTCTAGAACCCACAGTGTATTTTTCGGACTCTGCTCCAAGACCACGTCGATGACGTTCTGCAGCCCGTTGGAGTCATTCTCCGTTTGAGCTTGCCAGGAGGGGAACGGCTCCCAGCTGGGCTCTCCGCTGGGGACGAGCAGCGAACTTTTGGCCAGAGTCGCGCATGCTCCTTCCCGATAACGCGGGAAAACCATGAACACCTGGAGGAAAACATGCATTGCTACATATTGCAGGATGTTCGAACCATTATGGGTCGAAATGAGTAAAATGAGTACATAAGAAAGAAGTTTATTTGTTCCACAATTATCAGGCCTACTTATTGAAATATTTGTCATTTTGCATCTTCCCTAAAAATATTTACCTAATAACCTTTTCGGTTCATTAATTTGGAATAAGTCACTAAAAAGACAAAATTGTTTCACTAATTGATTAATGGTACAAAGCCTTGGGCCATGTCTAGAGTAACTGCTGGATGATATAATTATGTTATGATATTTTTACAAAAACTATATTTTTAATGGTAGGTAAGCGTAGCTTTTGGGCACTATTTTTTATTTAATTTATTATTTTTTAAACCCGACTGATGATTGAAGAAGAACATTAAGGAACTGGAAATGATTCTGCATGAGTTGCAAAATAAAAGAGTGCACTTACAAAGAGTAAATAATAGTTATTTGTTGATTCACGTACATACTATACAATTCATAATAATAAAATACGAGAGATGAACCTAAATATAGGCATGCAAATTGTTTTATACCAAACACGTAGATGTCACTTACAGAACCATTAATCAAATAATAAAGGTTTAAATTTGTAGAATAATAACTTATTTTTAAGGAACAAAGTTATCAAACGCTACTCATAACAAATAACACGTTGTGCTTTTCTTTTCTCTTTGAATATATTGCTCGTATTAATACATAATCTTAAGTTTAAACACAGATTGTATCACTATTAAGGCCTAATGAAGTGGCAGGACATAATAAAAGACCTCAGTCTCATAGAGAACAATAATTTCCTGTTCCCAGCCCTCAAGCTGATAGACCTGCTCTGGCGATAGTGGCTATTTAGTCGTTTCTTATTTGACCGAAGCGGTTCTCCTAATCCTCCTAATGATAGAATCAATTTCATTAGTTTTTAAGTTCCTACACAAAATACAGTAGTGCATTTTTTGTATCTTGGCTATTTCACTGTTCCCAAAACTACAGATTCATTGGAAGAACCGACGAACGCTGTATGATCAAATGTTTAAAGACTACCTAACCATCGAGCAATATATTTACTCTACTAAAAATAATAATTACCTACCTGATCCCTGAACAAGGCAAACCTAGTGCCCACCATGTGACTCGGGTCAAAGTTTCCAGCGGACTTATACAGGTCTCTGGCAGCTTCGTTTGGCCACACCATGGGAGCGCCGGTCCAGGATAGGGTAAAAGGTTCTTTTGGGGGAGGAAAATCAGAGGCGTGAACCGAGGCAAGAGCACAGCAGAGCAGCAGTAGTAGCATCATCTGGGGTAGAAAAATAACATTAACATTGTACACAGTTGCATTTTCAGGCATTCCTCAAACTCCGCCCTTTTAAGTCATTACAAACTTATTTCAATCCAAACATTTAGTTTTTTTACTAATTGTGGTGGAAAATGTCCTGGAATAGTCTTAAATATCATCAACTTACTATCACCAAAATTAAACGTAAACAATGATTTATTTTCATATACTTCCTCCAACGATTTAACGACGCAATGTGTTGATTTGGAGTAGTCGCTAAAACCTTGATTAAATCGAATCACATTTAAAATACAATTATAGAAAAATTAATGTTTTTTATTACTTTACAATCCTGTAACACCATTATAGCAAAGTTAACGTGTTTAGAATCGTCGTAGTCATCGGTCACAGAGTTTGAGATTGTATTAGGAACCAACATCAATTATCAAAACTTAATAAAGCTTCGTACATTCCCCTTACCCGATCGTACATTCCCCTTACCCGAATTTCAGTTTTATTTACAATTTGTATTAAACATTCGTTGCTGTTCACATTGGTCTCAATAAAATTTGTATCTGATACCTGAACACTTGATGAAGAAAATCATAAAATTGTTGAATTCCAATATCAAAATCCCAAACAAAAAATTTTTATTTATATGTCGTTTGGATACCAAACACGTAATCATTAAGTTATAATTGCGAATTTTTATTTTTATTTGATCGATTATTCATTTAAAAATGGGTCTTGATTAGATGGTTGTTACCAAATTTTAACTATTTAGAGATAGAGTAAAAAGAAACTTTTGGATCCAAATTCCAATTCATAGATATCTACGTTAATATGATTTTTTTAGTGTAAAACAAAATTAACATATTCCTTCTAAATAGCTAATATTATTTATTTTTGAGATTTAAATTTTATATATATTTTTAAAGTTCAACGTCTTGTTTAAGCCAAAAATATTACAGAAAAGCTTTTGAACTTTACATGATTAAAACAGTCGATGTATTCGTAAAATCTTGTATATGTATGTAACCCGAATTAAAACATAATGGATTAAACAGTGGTTGCATTTATTTTAAAGGTGTGATTCAATGTCACTTACTTTACTTACTCTACTTACTTTACCAAGATTAACTTAAAATATACGTTTGAACTTTCTGAGATCGTGGCATAAAAAAAAATTAAGTGTTTTTTAAATTTATATTTTGTTTTTGCTCAACTGAGTATGACAAAATATGTTAGCTACACATCATATTTAACTTGAAATATTCGCAACATTTAGGACACTTCATATCTTAAATTCTTATTCCAATCGAATTAGTTCTACTTTACGTATTATAATGTCTTACATTATACACAGTTATAATGCTAGACATAGTCTATGTTTGATGACTACAAGTATTTTCTGGAAATCCCCACTACAATTAGACCAAAACATTTCACGAACTAGTCTAATTCATCGTCTTTCAAAGCTTTTAGTTGTTTGGACAGGTGATCAACACATAAGAGCTGCCACAAACAACCACGATATGGCATAATAACATAGCTAAATATAAAACAAAATAGTGATATAAACACTAGTACCGTATTATACTAATTTGTGCCGATTTTCTCTGTAGCAAATGAGCTCAAGTAAGGTTAGGAACAACGGGATAAATTGTTATCCTTTAGATTAAAAACTTTTCCTTCTTATCTTATCGATTAAATACATTTCACATACCTTATTTCAAATTTTTCTTAAAGAAACAATACGGTTTATTTTAACCAATGGAACGGAAAAGGATTTTTTTCTAACGAGTTATTAGAAAGTCTTCAGTTTGGTACAGAAGAAATCTGGAGACTTTGCACTAGTTTAAATGGCAGGGAAAAATTAATACGCCAAAATGAAACGCAAAAACTGAAAAGTATGATGTTACGTGTTGAAATAACAAAGAGCAAATAATTTTGTATAAATTAATAGTTTTCTAGAACTAATAATGTAAATAATTTTATTTTCAATTAAATAGACTCAAGGTGCAACCCTCCGTTGAACCATGACACCATGACCTTTTTGAAATAAACTAAAATCCCCTTTTAAAATAAAAAATATCTATTTAAAATTTCAAAAATACAGGGTGATTTGTACTCAGTGTGACAAAAATCTTTTGGCGTGAGTACAAAGTAAATGAAGTGTGATGACGCATATCAAATGTTCCAAGTCTCAAAATTAGCTTCCCAAAAAAATATTTTATGTTTTTCAAAAATAACCATGCTTTTAAAATTAATACAGCGATATCTCAATTACCTGTATATGGATTTGAGTAGATAATGTCATTTTCGTGTTCTACATTAAATTTTGAACAAGAATAATGGAAAATGACGGAGGATCAGTTGTAAAAACTCCATTGTAAATAGATTCAAAGATAAAAATTAAGATATTTGATAAAAACTGTAAAAACAATGGTCTATTGCATTTTTCACACCCTGTATACAAGAAAGTGTCGGAATATGTTAAAAACTGCGCCATTTTATAAGCTTTCCAACTATATGCTACACTATTGAGGTTTAGATATTTTTTGTTTGTTTTAGTGGTTTGAATACCAGAAAACAGGGAACTTTTTTACTGTTTTTACTGTTCAAGCTGAAACAAAAATACAACTTTTGCTTAATACATGCCGACTTTCTATGTTTCAAATGTTAAAGACACCATGCTTTGTAGTCTTCAAACCATTAATGCGTACATAAGCAGGCATAAACCTCAATAGTGTAGCATATGGTTGGAAAGCTTATAAAATGGCGCAGTTTTTAACATATTCCGACACTTTCTTGTATACAGGGTGTGAAAAATGCAATAGACCATTGTTTTTACAATTATTGTTATCAAATATCTTAATTTTTATCTTTGAATCTATTTACAATGGAGTTTTTACAACTGATCCTCCGTCATTTTCCATTATTCTTGTTCAAAATTTAATGTAGAACACGAAAATGACATTATCTACTCAAATCCATATACAGGTAATTGAGAAATCGCTGTATTAAGTTTAAAAGCATGGTTATTTTTGAAAAACATAAAATATTTTTTTGGTAAGCTAATTTTGAGACTTGGAACATTTGATATGCATCATCATACTTCATTTACTTTGTACTTACGCCAAAAAAAATTTGTCACACTGAGTACAAATCACCCTGTATTCATGCGTTTCTTAGATACACATGTTTTAGGTAAGGGCACTAGTGACGGTAAGAAATAGGTGTTGAACAATAGGAAACAGAAAATGTCCCAAGCTACGGTACCTTCCTCTATTACGTTATGTTAAAAATATATGAGACCAACTAATTCGAATAAAACATTATTTAAATACAAGTTTCACCTTATTAAAGAAATCATCTTTATTGACATAAATTGTGAACAAGTAGGTCTACAATAGATTTATTTCAGATATCTGAAATGTAACGGATGAAAGATAGAAAAGATCTTACCTTGTGTAGTTTGACGGCTCTGTTTGAGTAAGATTGGTTCAAGTGGAGTGAATGGTATCAACAAAATTGCTGAGTGAAAAATAGCTGACGTAGCTGCTGATGTTTGGCATGCAATCCAAGCCATACGCGGTCCTCTAAACTAATAAACTGACCTTGAAATTCCCAGTCAGTTAACGCTGCCTTAGCATTCGATATTCTAAACATTGATTCAAGTACACACTACAAGATTCCTCTGATGTATTTGACAAAATGCCTATTAAGTTAGATGCTTTTTTCCTCGGAGAAAATCGTGCCAATCACCTCATTTCTGTCTAATTATCAAGAGAACAATACTTGCGCTGCAGCACTCCTGCAGACTAAGCAAACTTCCATTTGCCTGATTGGGTTTAAAAAAAAAAAAAATGCTTCAATAAATACCATTACGTTTTATGAGTACTTTCGTTTCCTACTACAGGAAAGGTAAATTAAAGGGTGTTTTTAATTGAAATTTTGATGGTGTGGTATGAAATAAATAAATTTGTTCAAAATAAATCAATAAGCAAGCATACTACAACTAAAATATTTGACTTAATTTCAATAATAATAACTAGTTGTTAGTTTTTTAATCTAAAAAAAATTAGAAATCCCAATTTCTAACCCTGAAATCTCGTTCCCACAGTTCGATCATGCTGGTACTTGAACGTTTTCGAATGAACGTAGGTTTACAAGTTTGTACATTTAATTAAAATCGGGTTGTTGATAAGCGAGTTACCATGCTAACAGATATACGTATGTATACACATTTGAACGGATGATGTTTTTGACCTCTGGAGGCATCAGAACGAAAAGTAAATCGGTCCCGGTTCTAGGTCATCATGAGGCCTACGATAATAGTCCCTATATGGGAAATTCGCTAAAAAGCAGGGACAACTTTTCGTGTGGTAAAATTTGTTGCATACGTTTTTAATTCGTTCGTACGGTAGATGACTCATCCAACTTAGCACCAACAGCAACATGAGTAACAAACACTTTGTATAGCTCCTTCTGTAAGCCGAAGGAATTATTATTTTCCTCCTACAATGTGTTTGCAACCGCGCCAATCCACGCCCTAGATTCCTAACCTGATTGCGTTATATCTTGATGCAGTGGTGGTGTTACCTTTTGTGGAATATCTGGCGACTTTTCCTTGAGCGATTGGTATTGCTAAGCAATGGTCGAGATGTTGTTGAATTGACTGTGCCAGTCAATCATAAGTTACTTAAGGAGATAATGGAACTGTTGGTTTCGCGATGAAAATAAATAAATCCATTAAATATAAAGTTACAATAAGATGTCAAGTCGTAAGTTGTAAAATATTATCTCGTGGTTTCATGTCTTCTGTTTGGTTTTATTGAGTTTGAAGCGGGAAAAGTCCATATCATTGCTTAAAATGTTTCAATTGCGAATTTTATAAAGTCATAATAAATACGGGAGGCCTTTCAAAATTCAAAATTCGCGTTTTCCTGACAGTGGATAATGGAAAAGACTTAAATGTTCCTTCAATACTCTAGAACCTTTTACGCATGATTTTGGCAAATGTCTACACCATAGGGAATAAGCTATTCGTAGGTCTCAAGTAAGACCTAAACCCGGGGCCGATTTACTTTTTTAATGTGATGTCCACAGCAGCCAAAAATACTATCCGTTCAAATTCATGTACAGTAGAACCTTGATAACGAATTGTCACAGGGGATGATAAAATAAGACTTGTTATTGAGGTTGAGTTCCTATAGAGGTTTTAAAAAGCATGTAATTGGTCGTAATATAAAATCAAGGGTATTTGAAAATGCTACTTGTTATCAAGGGTCTTGTAATCAAGGCTCCAGTGCATGGATATCTATGCTCGAGTAAAAATACCAAGACTTTGGTAATATTTGGCAGAAACATGCAAACCAACCTAGGTTTATGTTTTGAACAAGTTGCTAACCAGCATGATCGGACCATGGGGTAAAAATGGGGGTTATTTCCATTTCTGACCCAAAAAAAGTTTTGAAATTTCAATTTATTCCATTTTTTGACCCAAAAAAGTAATTTAGTATATTAAAGAGTTTGATGGTTACGGATAAACAGATGTAAATTAAAACTTCCCAGGTTATTCTTATGGGAAATAAATAATTGGTTGTATTTTGCTTGTAATTGTGGAAATTGTGTAATCAAATTTGTCTAATTCATTTATTGCATACTATACTATTGATAAATACTCATTTAGTTATTGAACTCAATTGTATTTAAAGAAGGATTGAATCCGAAAATTTTAAGGAAACATTGGAAGAAAAGCCAACCAGGCAATTGAAAATTAACTTATTATGTTTGCTGTGGTGGGGGTACCGGTACTATACTAATCACAATACTATATACAATTACAATACTACACTATAACATTTTCTACTGTATGTTGTTGAAATTGTTTTAATATCATCTTTAATCTGGGTTTAGCCTTTTGCTATTTTTATACTTATGTAACCATGCATTACTTCATTTCAGACTTGTACTGCTACACTGTATCGAGTGATTTTAAAGCCTCGATCAAAACAGGTTCCCCTATTTGTCACAACCAGTTAGTCCCCGACCTGCCTCAATGAGGAAAACCCTGCTTTATAAAAGTTGGTAGCCTTGGTATTGTAACAGGCATTGCAACTGCCAATTAGGAACGTTAATTGATTTGGGTTTGTAGGATATAATATTATTTTAATTTTAAAATAACTCTAATGATGAACCAAATCTCCCTAGCCACTTGGTCTGTGAGTGGCTGATAAGTGTAATGACGGGAGACTATTGAGACTATAATTACATATACATAGGCTACATACTGTAGTGAATATATATCTTACTAGTGTGGATTGTTTCAATACCTATCCATTGTAGACCTACATTAATTTAAATTTTACCCTATCTACGAAAGTTTGAATCTGTATAATCATTTATTCACTATCGAGCATAATTCTAACCACTCCAGTTAAACCACCCAGAGACAGTACTCACAGTCTTGATCTAGAAGTGTCAGTAAAATTTTACTTTTTTTTGCTTAGTTTGTTCATTTGTAGGAATTAATATTCTAAGATATACTTCAGCTTGTGTTGGAGAAATGTTTAAAAAATTGTTATATATGTATTTGTCTTATAGGGTTCAACAAACAGTTACATAATAGACATGTTGTGGCATGTGTTACATAACAGTTTTTCTTCCTTTTAAGATCTCTTTCCCCCAGCACAGAGGGATTATAGCAGGAGGCAATTCGGGGGATTATTAGTCTTAAAACTCTCGATTATATGTCTTGTAATTTATATTTTCTTCGACAAAGTGTATTTCGACTAAATCAGTTTCCTCCTAAACAACTCGACTATTGACACAGACTGAAAAATGACAATTAACACTAGAAGATGTATTTCCATTTAGATTGACTGGGGCTGCTTAGAGAAGCGCAGACTCAGCACCTTGAAGCGTCAAGTGCTGATTCTTCAATCGCTAGCACGTGTCAACAATCTGTGTAACCAACAATGACGTAAGGATATCATCGTATACACCATTTGACAGAATCGTGGACTCAGCACCTGGTAGCGTCAAGTGCTGATACTTCAATCGCTAGCACGTGTCAACAATGACGTGAGGATATTATAGTATAGACCATTTAACTATAATGTCATTAACTCAAAACATTAACGAGTTTTCCACAAAATTGTGAGAAAAATAAATTGCACGGAACGATGGTAATCGCAGTATCAATCGCAAATAACAGGTAAATACTGAGAGCTTCGTAGCCTCAGTGGCCACAGTCCATCTCTGAGGCCAATGTTGAAGTGTCCTTTCAGCAGTTTTGCACGTCGAGTATTGTTCCGACAGTCTTTGAACACGCGAACTGTACATAAATCAACGGAATATATAAAAAAAAATCTACTATGACTCAGCAATTTTTCATCCAAAACAGAACTGTACGTTATATGAGCAGTGTTGTGATTTTCACTTATGTAACATCACGTATGAGAAGTTTCTCACGTGTGACCTCAGCACGGGTCTATATGACTACTCGATGTCCTCTGCGCCCATCACATGATGGCTACCCTACAGCTCTCTGCAGTAGGCCTACTGTTCCTCACATTCACTCTCCCTTGTTCGTCTCTAGTGAGGGACAACCAATATTTCCAGGACCTCTGTTTTCGTCTGACAGGACACAGTGTATGTTGGCCTTCTGAGGAGTTGAGGAACAACTACACCAGCCAAGGGAACTACAATCCGGCTAACATAATTGTTACCAGGTGAGGACTCTTATTATTTATATATGCAATTCATTGTAAATCTAACGATGGATTGAGGTAAAGACTATGTCACTTTGGCATAGTTGTAAATTTAGCAACCCATGTTTTAATCGTATTGTATTATTTATATACTATTTACGCCACCTTATTTTAATTTCTTGGAGTTAAAAAATGTAACAACTACATTACTCTAGACAAAAAACTATTTATAAAAATTACAATAAAACAAACATTTTTTTCCTGAAATGTGACTGCGGAACCAGCGACGATGTATATCACGCTAAACAAGAAAGGCTCTGAGGTAGAATATCTTGTCCTAAGAGTGAAAGGTCAAAGCACCCCGTCACATTTGTTTGTATTCTTAAAAATCAATTTCACACATCGGCCTTAATAGCATAACAAATCACCAAGATCATTGAAAACTTAGCGTTTTTTATTAACTATACGAGTCGGTACTTATCAATTGACGCTCTCAAGTAATATATGTAAAACAATAATTACAAGGAGTTAACACTAATAAAAATAAAAACCCACTATAGAACTATGAATGATCAAATAACGTATTTTATTCATATTTAATGCATGTTTTACAATAAAAACTAATCATACTTTAATGTTAGAATAAAAAAGTGTGATATTAAATTAAATTATTTACACATATTGCTCATTACACATAGAGGACTTTTAAGTATGTGTGATAAACAATAGGTGTGCTGCTTATCGGATATCACACTTTTATATTTGATCATTAAAGTACAATTAGTTAATATCTAGTAAAACATGTAGTAAATATTAATAAAAAAACGTTACTTGATAATAATTAATAGTGCTATATTTTTTCAATTAGATATACTGAATAGAATTCAAAAGAATTAGAATACATCCACTTTTAATTTGATAGGGTTTTACAATTTTAACAATACTTAAACAAACTCGCCCCATCTTCCACTGGAGAAATGTAAGATCAATAGAAGACATGCACCAGCAGTCGCCCTGCGAGGACAGAAGTTTTCATTTTCGTGTTCAAACATTTATCACAGTAAAGTAAATCCTCCTCTCTACGTTACGAGTCCCATTTACCTTCAAAATATCGGTCATTGATCACGAAATTATATAAATTGATGACTTATGCACTTGTATCTCAATGATTTGTAGGTACGTTTCTACGTATTGTTGTAAGACTATTCCTTTCAATAGTCTTTATGTCATTTTACCGTACATATTTTTGTAAGAAAACGCGATAAAAATGTATTTTAAAAAGTGTTTAAACAAGTCATAGTCACCTTCAAGCACTTCAGCAAATCACCCATATAGGGAATGTTAATATCACGGCCGTAGGTCTCTTGATAAGACATATACCTGGGACAGATTTTCTTTTTTAATCTTGATTTACCCAAAGACCAAGAACATCATCCGTTTGAATTTATATATCCATATACATGTGTGTGTGTGTGTGTGTGTGTGTGTGTGTGTGTGTCAATTAGCACTTAACTCTAGTAAAAGTCACCCGATTTTAACGAAATTCGGCCCGCTGCGTTGGGGGTACTTACCCTTACGTAACAGGAATACTAGGAGAGAATGAAACAGTTTTTTGGATTAAGGGATACACCAGTCTTTTACTTGAACTTAAACAATTATTCAACATAAACTGAGACTCGCAGCTTAATATATATTAATAATTAAAACAACAATAAACCTAACTATTTTTTAGATTCCAATGGTGGCGGGACCAGGTATTTGTTTGCACTCCCTCTTTAAGACCTGGAGTGCCTTTTACCCTGGGACGCTTCGACCTCTTTCAAAGAGGTTTCCCCTGCATCCAGCCCTTTCCCTCTTGGGACTCCGATCTCCACAACGTTGTCGACCTCTATGTAGACGCTAGAGACATCCTGTGGGTCTTGGACATCGGTATAGTGACCACCCTAACTAATCCAGAAGTCAAATGCCATCCCAGAGTCTTGGCGTTCGATGTTCTTTCAAAAAAGGTAGACCGTATTTAGATTATATTATTATATTTTATTGAGACATTGAATACGTAGAGAGTTCATATTGATAGCACCATTTTGAAAATATCGGCAATTTTTGTTTACCAAATAAATATTTTTTTTACATAAAAATATTTTCATCACTTTTTAAAATTTGATTATTATGCTTGGATAGTACGTAAGACGAAAAGAAGTTCTTCGCCTGGACATAACTATTGCTCTCGATTATATATAGGTTTTATGACATTTTATTCCGTGCTCAATCTCAAATCCAAACCAACCGTTTGTGGGTTTATATAAATGTCCAATTCATATTCTCTGGCAGTTTGTCGTTAGCTCTATCTTAAATTGTCCATGGTACGTTAGAAAGTAATCTTTGTTGCAAATAAAGACTTTTGCGATTCTCGTGTGTTTTATGGACTCCAAGTGATCTATGTGTTTAGGTTATCCACGTCATAGACTTGGCCACCCTATCATGCCAGGGGTCGCGACTACAACATCTAGTTGTCGACGTTTGCCCCCGTACATCAACACCTTGGGTGTTTGTTAGTGATGCCTCTACTCGAACTATCTTGGTGTACGATGTCGCCAGAGCCAAGGGTCGTCGAGTCGTTCTCCCTGATGTCGTCGAACCACATGGTCCAAGGGATGTTCTGTACCTCGCCCTTATCCGAAGGATGGATAAACCGTCCAGGGTTTACTTCAGTTACTTGTCCAGCGATAGGTAAGCTTAACAACGAGAGAAGTATTTTGCTGTATATAAGCAGGAAGTGTGAGCAGATTGTCAAACGATTGTAAACACTATACTAGAGAGAAAAAAATCAGAGATTTAGTCGGAGGACAGCATGTTGGTCTACTCCAAGAATGGTATTATCAAAAGAGAGCAGTTTCAGCTTCTGTATTTAGTTATCTAAGCAGATGCTGTTAGTATTTTAATTCCGTTTTGCTGTATTTTTTATCACCAACGTGGCAACTTGTATGGCAATGTTGAGATTTTAAAACTTATTTAATTAGTTACTTATTAACTTAGTACCTTAGTAACTTAGTAACTTATTTAGTTTAGTAGTATGTTAATTTTATCATTCACATTGCCATTTATATGAATTATCCTCTTTATGTGTGTCCATTCATATATCGAAACTCTCTCTGTATGTGAAAAATAAAATATAATAATAAAAACAAAACCAAAAAGAAAATACTAACGAGTGTATTCACTAACGGATTTAATAATTATTATTCAACGTTCATTTTATTCTAACGGTAAGTTAAAACTGGTAAACTATGTTTTGATTCATTCCAAATAGATGGTAAATTATTGTTTGGTGGGTAGAAGCCTCACTTTTGCAAGATTAAGGTGATACACCTGTCTATTTCCAGGATGTTCTCGATGTCGACGGAGGACCTGAGGTATCCTGAAAGACAAGGATCGGTACAGGACGAAGGACGTAAACCTCACCCAATGGTGACTCTAGGAACAGCCGATACAAACCTCTTCCTAAGGTAGACGTGCAATGGTTTCTTGTTTAATAGTAAATATTTATTTTTGGTCTTAAAAGCCACAAAAATGTACCGGTTCTTAACACCAAAAAGTTAGTTTAAGATTCAAACAAATCACTTTAACTTTTTATCATTATCTAGTTAATTAACATATACTATTGTTGTCAAAAAAATCAAGAAGTATATATTCATATATACTACATAGATAAACTTTGTGAATTGAGCCATTAATTCACGATCCACAAATGGAAACCCTACTATTCGTATGTGGAGGGAGTCCTGATTTCAAATGAAATGGATACTTGCAGGTACAGAGGAAGGGCCGAGGTTTTAATGTGGCCTGTAGACACTACCTTAAGAGAGGCAAATCTTATCCCAATACAAGAAACTCAGGATGGCCGATTGGCTACTCAGGTAACTGTCAAGATTAACTGCTAGCTATTGTTGTAGTGATTGTATACATTGAAAAGGATTAGTATATACTATTGAATATAAATCATTTGTTCATGTAAAAGTAATCGTAGTATGTTAGGTACAACCTCCACGAATATTTCATGTTGAGGGTGGTTGATGAGTAGATTTTTAATGTATCCGTGGAATTTAAAGGATTACAATCAGCCAAGTTATTGTTACATTTAAACTCTATGCTTGCACAAGTCATAGCTGGTTGTAGGTTTGAAATAACTATCAAAATATATGCTACGAGTGAATCACTAATAAACTCATCATATTATTTGTTGTTACAATCAACTTATCTGAGTTCAGGTAGAAAAAAAATATATAGATATATATATATTTTCCGTTAACGCGATAACTCGAGCAAAAACGATCCGATTTGGAAGAAATTTGGTACAAACGTGTAAACCTACGTTTATTCAAACGAGTTCACGAACCAGCATGATCGGACCATGGGAAAGGGGGTTTAGGTGGTAAAAATGGGTTTTTCCCATTTTTGACTCAAAATACATAAAATTTTGCAATTTCTTTCCAAACTATTTTGTAGAGCTTAAAAAACAAATGATTTAGTGTATTGAAGCGTTATAATGCACCTAATGGTTACGGAGAAAATTCCAAAACATTTTATATTTAAAATTCCCATGTTATTCTTATGGAAAATAAGTAAACTGTTGTAGTTAGCTTGTATATTAACATATTTTGCCCAAATTTGAAAAATGTTTTTATTTCTTACTAACTATTAACATTTTACATAAAACAACACTTTTACCCTCCCTGTTGCAGCAAACCTAAGTATGTGTTAAACTGATTCTATTTAAATAAGGAATGTGATATTTTTAAGGAGACATTTTAGTGTGAATCCAATCAGGCAAATGGAAATTCGCTTAGTCTGCAGGTTTGCTGCGGCGGGGGTATTTTGGTTTAGAGTAACCACCCTTCTCATTCCAGGTGACCATAGGGTACGGAGGACTTCTGTGGATACTGGAGAGTAACTTTCAGGATTACATAAGGAACGCGACTGGTAGTTTGGGGGCAAGTGTACTCCTTCACCCACTTACAAGGCCCTGACTGTTGTTATTGATATTGTTCCATTTGTATTTTTAATGTAAATAGTCTTTTTTAAATTGTTATAAAATATTTAAATTATGTGTTTATCTTACTAACTACCTTATGAAATATTTATAATCATAATAATATAATAAACTGATGGTTAAAAAATATTAGTTTGAAGAGAAAAATTAAGATACTATGCAGTTACAAAAAAGTTAAATGAAATGAAAATACAAATTTGATCAATTGGAAACGATCTAAATATCTGCCTCGCTGTCAAAAATGACCCAATCCCATATTCAAACTACGCGTCATCGTCTATCGACGCATTGCTTCGCGGCCAAAACACATCTTCCGATTATTATATGACATTATCCTTAAAATATGTCATTATTATAAATTGTATTGAAAAGTTTACCAACTATTCTATTGTTATTTTGTAATGAATTTTGTTTGTGACTTTCTGTTCATTGGTCCTTATATTTTGTCGTTTACAAAATACACTACACCTATTTTTAGGTGTAGTGACATAAATTAACATATTTTACTATTGGATTGGGTCTCTATTGTGGCATCCAAAGGCAACACCAGCCCATCGAATTTAAAATTTGCAGTTTCCATTACTGGACTTCATACTAACTTCATAACTAAAAGTTTACTACTCCGGATATTTCTAAACTCTTTCTTAAGTATTCGATTTTCTAGTATTTTTGTTCGAAATAAAATGAAAATGGTTTGAGATTGATTTATTTAAAACTTGTTCCCATTACGAGCAGTAAGTAAGATGACATGTGTGTGTGTGTGGGTGTGTGTGTGTGTGTGTGTGTGTGTGTGTGAGAGAGAGACTGCTGGATGACGTAACCACTGACCAGACTCAAGTGACACCACGCTCCACTTCACTACCATACGTAACATATTAGTTTTTGTGTGGTCATAGTCATTGAACCCTGTGTGGATAGAATAGACTGTAGCTCATTAATTTCTTTACCTTGTATGCTAGAGTTTCTCATTACGTTAAAATAATATTGAGATATAGATTTTCATGTTGTTTGGGTTTACTTAACAGTTAGATAACATTTCGATTATCCTTTTTACTTTCTCCCCCCTATACAATAGTATAGTATATGGAGAAACTATTGTTTTTTTCAACACTTTTCGAGTTTGGGTTTTGAGTAGATATAGTTGTTTTGGGCCCCCTGGACCTAAAAAGTGGTTTTCAAATTTATGTCTGTCTGAAAGTGTGGATGTTTACAGAGCTACAGAGCACGCCTGTCGTAAGATTTAGATGAAATTTGGTACGTAGGTACTAATCTATCTATATCTATGCACAGGCTTTTGTATTATGTCTTATGTATCTCCAGGCTTTTATTTTCATTTTTTTAATTTCAGATTTTTAATTGTGATTTTATCATAAGACCCAATAAATTAACTGAAGAATAGAATTTTCTTGAAGATAGTCAGAAAGATTTTAGTAAAACTTTAGTATTCTATAGCTCCTTAAATTCTGAACAAAGTGGTATAACTCTTATATAGCTCCTTAAATTTTGAACAAAGTGTTAATTCTTATTGCTGAAAAAGTTTGGTTCAAAGGTTATTGAAACGTATATGATTTACCCATAAAAAGCCTATAAAATAATTGAAAATTGAATTTAAGTTTTTGAAATACAAACTGTTTTCATTAAAATTAGTATGTTATGATCCTTATAATTCTACACAAAATAGTGCAACTCCCATTGCTGTAAAAATTTCGTTTTAATGGTTATTTGTGATTTTCCTTATAAAATATCATAGTTACTTCCACCGCTTACCTTGGATTTTTTGTCTGATAGCTTTGACATCAACGTTTGAACTCAGTATCCATAATCTGCAAGGTCAAATAATTTTACGCAGAAATTTATATAGTGAAAAGATAAATTTATCATTAATAACTTGTAAGCAAGAGAAAAGCAATGGCTTCAAGCGAACAAAGTCGCAAATACTTTGAAGCATTCCGAGCGTTATTGTGAATATTTGCTACCAAGAGGTTTAATTACTATTAATATTCAGTTACAAAACTGAGCCTTGATTTTTGTTGTTATTTTAATGTAATACGTAGAAAACTAGCTTCTTAGAATAATCCGAAGAAAATTATAACCGGCCAAAATACGCTTGTAGTATGAAGTCGCTTGTAGTATGAAGTCGCTTGTAGTATGAAGTCGCTTGTAGTATGAAGTCGCTTTTAGTATGAAGTCGCTTGTAGTATGAAGTCGCTTGTAGTATGAAGTCGCTTGTAGTATGAAGTCGCTTGTAGTATGAAGTCGCTTTTAGTATGAAGTCGCTTGTAGTATGAAGTCGCTTGTAGTATGAAGTCGCTTGTAGTATGAAGTCGCTTGTAGTATGAAGTCGCTTGTAGTATGAAGTCGCTTGTAGTATGAAGTCGCTTGTAGTATGAAGTCGCTTGTTGGGATCGACTACAAGCGTAACATGCGTGACGAGCGAGAGAGTTTGTCTTTCTTTAACATAATAAGCAAAAGTGATACGCTCTGTTAATTCTTTACAGTAACTAACAGGGTGTCCAACAATAATCTGAGTGAATAATGGACAATATCGTGGATAGTATACTACTACATTACATATATAGAAATACATTTTTATGTTTATTATAATGGGGATTTTGTGGACATTGAATTTGAAATTACTTGCACTTGTGACTGAAAATATATATAATTATATGCACGTTCAGTATCACCTTTGAATAAGTAAGTAAATTAAACTTATCAGATTAATATTTAGAGTAAATTCATAAATTAAATAGAATTGTTGTAACTTGAAATTATTTCGAAAAAATAATATGAGAAACTGTTAACACTAGGAAAACTGTGAGGTAAGACTACTAACCGTGTGATTTCCTTGATACACTAGGAACATCAGTCTTAATAACGAATACAAATTTTTTTTAGTGTCAAGTCTAAATTTAACATTTTATAGAACGGACTTTTGGCTTTTGCCGCTACTTGGAAAAGTAGGGTTCAAAATTAGTACATTTTTTGGATGGTGTACAGAGGCATAAATAAAAAAGACGAATATTCAACCCTCGTTGAAATTGTAATAGGAACAATCCAGGGGTGTGTATATCTATCTCCGTGGAATACTAATAGAAACATTTTAAATACCAAAGCATTTAATATAATATTTTTTACATTGGTTCTTTGTGAACAATAATTCTAAGGAAAAAAACAAATAGTAAGGGAATTAATTGAAACTATTTGTTCAAAATTGCATGGGTCAATCCATTTTAACTGGATATGAAGCTGGATTAATAACACTTACAAAACTTCCTACGAGGGGTTCAACGTGTAAGAGGTGGGGAATGGGACACTCAATTCATGAACGAAATCTAAACTAAAGCAACTGTACATCTCATTTCAGTATTCCAAGAAATATTGGTCTACGTTTGTCTAGTTCAATCTCTCGTAACTTTGCAGTGTCTAGTTCTTTACGAAAAATCAGGCAAAGTGATTTAGCTATTAATAAGAGAAATTTCGCATAATGAACTAGAGTGGACTATGGCAAGGTGGTTTATGGGGTAAAATTGGATTTTCCGTTTTATCCTCAAAACATAACATTTCCCCATTCTTTTCCATGCTACGTTTATTTGTACGTTTTTCGATTAACTAGTTTATTTATTTTGAAAAGCTGACTTTTTAACGCAAGTGATAATAGGAACTAGGGAAATACGATTTTCCAATAATCCCTGAGAAATATTGTGAAATCAAATGGCAGACAAAATCGGTTAACTGATAAAAAGAACATGTTTCATAAAATGATTCGGTTGTCAAGAAACGTCGATATACAGTCGCAGAGATGTCCCTTACCAGTACTTCTCTGTGTAGTACAGTAGAGCACATTGACTAACACTAAAATAGTTCATGTTTGAATGTTTACTATTTACTAGGGTACCCGTTGCTCGAAAACGAGCAATTGTTTAACAGGAGTTATTTCGAAACGGAGTGAATTCAATATAAATAACTCACAACAAATCATTATTTTAGATCAATTTATTACATTCCTCTTATTAAATATTAAGTTTCTTCTGAAAGTACTAATTCTGTTAGTAAAATATCTTCTTAAACAATATTTGGGCTATTGTAAAAATTTTTTAACTTTTCGCGAGTTGACCTTTTTTATTAGTATTTTACAAAAATTGTTAAGTTCTCAAAAATATATTTTCCTGACTTGTAGCCACATACAGTTGTCCATATGAAAATGGATGAAAGTTAATTAATATCCAGCTGGCAATATTCAACCCTCTATAAACTGACCCTGAGCTTTATTAGTGTCATAGCTAAATACAAAATTATCAAAGATTGAGTCCTTTGAATATAGAATGGCAGAATTTTGCCTAGTGGATTCAAGTTTACTTAGATTTCCTCGTCGTTCCTCTGGGAGAGAGTGGTCTGACCTTGCGAGCAGGGCGTAGCCCCTCGACCTTCACCAAACATGACCCGACCGATACGAGTATGTCAACATCACGAACACTACTGAAGGTAAGATCATTGGAAGCTTATCATAACATAATAGCCGAAAACTAAAATAGTTTGCAACAGTTAGATGAGAACTGTAAAAACTAATAAGAAACAATCGAAATCACTCTTTCCTCAATGCGTTATAGAACCGCGTTGTCCTTAGGTGAGCTATACAGGGCTATACAGGGCTATACAGGGCTATACAGGGCTATACAGGGCTACCCATGGCTATACAGGGCTATACAGGGCTATACAGGGCTATACATGGCTATACAGGGCTATACAGGGCTATACAGGGCTATACAGGGCTATACAGGGCTATACAGGGCTATACAGGGCTATACAGGGCTATACAGGGCTTTACAGGGCTATACATGGCTATACGGCTAAACAGGGCTTTACAGGGCTATACATGGCTATACATGGCTAAACAGGGCTATAGGGCTACACAGGGCTATACAGCTCTAATTGCGTTGCCAAGTAGCTATAAATATTTTAGAAATTAATAAGGGAAACTAAGTACTCATTGCATATGGTTATAATAAACCATACAGCATACTGGAAAATTACAAAATACAG